TTTCCCATGTCTTTATTTAATATAATTACAAATTAGTAATTTTTTAAAAAAAAAATAAGTAATGCAATTTATTTTAATTACTTACAAGCAATATTTACATTTAACCCATTTTATGCCTTTTTCATCCATTTGTTTATCAAAATGTGTCCATCAATATCATCATTATCATAATTATAACCACCATAATTGTCATTACCACAATCATCATAATTGTTATAATTGTTAATATTTCCTTCAGGTTCATGTAAACACTCTCTTCAGATTCTAAAAAGGTGCTTTCTCTGTCTAAAATAATTAATTTATCATTGTCATTGTAATTATTGTAATTGTCAATCTCAATTCTTCTTTTGACATTATTAATTAATTTAATTAATTTATGCTTATGCTGTGGTTTTTTTTTTAATTGAGAATAATATATTAATGAATGAGATAATAATAACAATAATGAAATAGTGTTACCGGAAGATTTTGACACAGATCTTTTGGTCGGATCTTTTAATTCCGGGACAATTTAAATTTTATTTATTTATATTTTTTATTAATTCTATTTATTTATCATAACGTGTATAATTATTTATTATCATCTGAATTCGCGTTACGTTTCGCGTATTTAATTATTATTATTATTATTAATCAATCCGTGGCACATTCATATTTATTTAACTTTATTTAGTAGAGATTAGTGACGATTCTTCAAAACGGGCGGATTCGCCCAGGTACAAAGTGAGCGGATTCGCGCAATTCGGGCTGATATGTAAAGAACATGTATATAAAGAACTTGAGTTCGACCTAATGTAAAAGCAACTTTCTTACAAGTTAATTAGTTTCGACTAAATAAAAAAAATAGAAATATTTTATTTAAAACTTTTATCTTCTTTAACCAAAATTATTCGCTAATAATAAAATCAATTCGTTGATCCCCTATTCATTCTGATCCACACAAAACAAAAATAATTGTTATAGTAATAATAATAATGTAATAATAATAATGATGATAATGATAACGAAATAGCAATAATAATTAAATAATAAAAAAATAAGGTTTTCACTGATCACCAAATAATTTTT